AATTACGAACGCATGCTTCACTGAGCGGGCATAACGAAGGGGCTCTGCACCAACAAGTTGCAAAGCTTTCAGAAAGACGCGCCTTGCTTCTAAAAGCGAATTCCCCGTGTATATTTGCCACGCGGTGATGTCCTATAGCTACAAGCTGGCTACGGTACCAGAGAAAGTCATCCAATCGCTGGATCATCTCATGAACAGAACAGGATTACCAAATTTCCAACCAAAAATAGTCTCCAGGCCTGGAACGTGCCGGTACGAGTAGTCTTGCAATCAACCCCGCAATAGCTTCGATGCAGATTGCTTTATCGTTTTGTCCAGTTGTTTCGCCGATGGTATGACGTAGTACTGTTCGAATGCCAGCATTTGTTTGACGGGATAGGTTTGCACCAAGGGGTATTGCCTGTGTTTGGTGTAGGAGTGATGTCGATGAACGCTGCTGCCATCATGATTATTGTCATTGTGAGCTTTGACCAACCGGACAAAGAATCGTGCCACATAAGCCGAGAACTCTACTGCTTCTTCCGAGTGATCAATGGCCTTGTACGGAATATTGGTTCCAGCATATGTGCCATACTCAAAAGCATTCTTTTCTGGGTGGTACTGTACACCATAAATTGGCATGATATGAGGATTTCTGGGTTCAATCGTCGATACAAAAGGTCGACCATGGCCATCCACATTCACAGATGTCACTTCAAAGAGTTTGTTCAGATTTTCATTGTTCCGAAATGCACTTGGTTCCACTCCCATATGGTGGGAGTTGGAAGTAACATTTTTCTGTCTGACAATCTGATAGATTCTGTCATCTTGATAGAGCTGCCGCCGTTGAACATTCAAAAGTGGCCAACTATTGTTTTCGGCATCAAATCCATCCGTGAGAACCGGCAGAGAGGAATTGGATGATAGGACTTGTACCAAGTATTCAAAACCGAGACAGGTACCCCAGACGGGAAAAGACTCGTCCAGCGCAAGATTCAACAACTGGTGGACAGCGGGAGGTACAGCAGAGCCTCCTCCTGGCAATAGCAGTCCATTGATCTGACCAAACAGATCCTTCACCATGCCTGGACCAGCGTCATAAGGAATCGGGATACTGCGAGCCCCACCAGATTCCAGCCACTTCACATAGCTTGCAGCAATTACATATTCTTCCTTCTGTTCCGTGTTTTGATCCGTCTTCCTGAGACCGATGGGTTGACTCAAGATCCCAATCACAGGCGATGAAGTCTGTTGTGCCGATACTGAAATTGCAGCATTCACACTCAAGCCGAAGGAGAGAGCAACGCAGGAAGACCAGAGCATGTTGCAAAGATAACACTACGACTCAACTCTCATCTGGGGTTGCTTCTTTTTCGCGACCAGATCGTCAACAAATGGCACTGCAAAATTAAGATATATCTGGTTCGCTGTCCAATTTACATATTTTTATCACCTTGTTGCAACCCTCTCACATTGTAGTTCCTTCGGCACAGGCTTGCTGTATGCACAGAATGTTTTTAGCAGCTCAGCCATGCACACTATATATAAGATCCGAGAGTCTCTTCTGTCACTCCCTCATCAATGGCTTCACCCTTCTACCAGTCTATGTCACTATTTCCCTTCGGTATTCAAAGTCAAATGGCTTTCTCCTGGCTCTAGCTGCTATTGGAGTGTTCACAAGTAAATTTCGTCTCAATTTATTACTTTTATAGATCCCAGCTACCCCTTTCCAGGTGGGGACGGATCGATCAGTGCATTGGCGGCGTCCTCCTTTGCGTTGGGAGGACAAGGGTGGTTGGTTTTAGTCATACTTCTTTGTATTAACTTTGAAACATATTTCAAAGGAGGGTTAAATCGCCGGCAGAGGATGCAGAGCGGATTTTACGAGGCAACGACAAAATTAGAGGTTACTCCTGCATTTGGCCGTTTGATCATCGGCTCCTGTAGTCAGATGAGCTCAGGCGCCCCATCTGATCAATGGTTCACGGACGCCCACTTCAATTTTCACCTTTGGGTCCACGTCCCAGTTGGGATCATCGCGAGATTCCCACCCACCTCATTCATCCGGGTAGAGGAATGTCTTCTTGGTAGACCAGCAATTGATGGCATGTACACTTGAGTGGTAGATCTTCCAACGCTACTTTCTTCCACCATGAAGTTGGTTTGTATGCTGTTCGCAAGCTTTGGCCGCTTTTGAGTTTTGATACAACATAACCATGGCACCCTTCGGGTCTGTAGGGGACATGGATCCTGGTAGAATTATCAATAAAGCGTGGTTTCCGAGTTCCACCCACCAGCATGGCGTCTAATATGTTCAACCCATAGTCTTGCTCTGGATGGACACAAGCAATGCCGCCAAGCATGAGAATATCCCACTGATCTCTCGTCTCTCCATTGGATTCAAGTTCTTCCACAAGGTCCTGGATCCTTTCTGAAAAGTTGTTACAGGCAATGATGGCATCATCTTCGAGAATCACTTGATAAGGAAACTTGGTTGACTTCAACACTTTCATCCAAGCATTCCGATGAGAAAGGAAGCAGCCGATGACCGGACGAGTGCAGAAGATTCGTGCCAATGGCGTTGTGTTGGCAACCAGCTCTTCCTCTGAAAGAGCCTTCCCATAAACAGCAGGAAATCGTTCCACAAGCTGTCCTCCTTTATTTTGTAGCTCAAGGATCACTTTGTCCCATCGTGCCTTGTCTTTATCAAGGTTGATGACATTGATCGGCACCACAGGCTGTTTGCTGGCATTTGTAAGGACTGGCTTTTGGTTACCGTCTGCGATGGTTTTGGTCGGGAAGGCTCTGTCCTTGTGGTGTCCATTGAGGGCGAGAGGATCACCGCCACCCATACTGCGATGGTTGTTTCGGTGGTAAAGGGATCGAAGCAGCATGGTTTTGGTCTTGGCTTCGCAAATTATGTTGCTCCACAAACGAGATTTCGATGGAGTGGAGACGGTACCGAGATGAGATCATATAGTGTAGCTTCCTACTCCCTCTGTCGCGATACCAGACACACACTTTGAAAGAAGTCTTTGATTTAGCCGAAGATGGATGCTATTCTTGTTTCAACGTCTCGAACCTTGTTCGGCTATGAACCTGATCGGAATTGGTGCGATAGTGCCATTCATGCATTCAAGCCAATGACAATGCATTTTTCGCGTCGCAGATACACCCGGACACCACAACTCTACCGGTACAGTCCGTGGTGATTCAAACCACGCAATGCAATTTGCTTCTGGGATAGGATATATTTACCGGTACCAGCGGTCCAGCGTTACAGCAGTTTTTTTTTGCGCACCCTATAAATCCTGCTCTTGGAAAGATGAGGGGGACACGTCTGAATACTTGCCAAAAGATCTCGAGCTGTCCCTACCAGCTTTCGCTGCTGCATCTATCTGTCTTCGTAGTTTGTTTTGCTTCTAAAGAGTGAGTCGATCAGACACCCCTTCATCTGCTTGCCCACCGATCGATCAGCCAAGCCTCCACCATGGCGGAAACGCCGCATCAGTTTGTCGAGCAAGTGCTAGTACCAGGAAGCCCCGAGGCTTTGCTGGTTGGTCACCTCATTGCAGGTAATAAAACATATGCGTAGCCTGCGTTGCAGTATCCAACTATCTCATTACCGTCATTGTCGGTATTCTACCGATGATTGCTGTCCTCGACCTTCATCTCAGGATTTCCGCTCGTCCTTGCGGGTACCAGTCTGCTGCTGCTTTCATTGAAGAGAGCTCGAGCTCTGCCTCCCCTACAGGACCTTTGCCGAACTACACATCCCGGAACAGAATCTCCACGTTCTCAGCCGCGTCGCCAAGGGTACAGTCATTCTCACATGTGGTGGTGTGCTTTTAAACGTCGGGATGGCTGTTGCGTACAACGACTATTTCTTGATGCTCAATCATGCCATGCCCTGGTTTTGTTTCTTCTGTGTCGGTGTTGTCGCACTGTTGGAAGCACAACGAAAGCTGCCTCCTGATTCATACCGCCAGTACCTTGCCCTTGCCTTGTTTCTATCCTTTGTCATGCTCCACGACCATGCTGTTGAAAACATGTAAAGACCGGAGTCAAGTTTCACCTCTACGGCCTACATCCATTTGGCAAATGCCATGGTCCTGGCTTATTCGGCCAAACATCCAGAGAACATTGTCGCCTACATTGCTGGCTGGGCATTGTTGCTGATTCAGGGCCTTTGGCTCTGTCTTATCGGGTTCTATTTTTGTTGTGTCGACGTCAAATCATTCCGCATTGGATCCTACCTTGGCCTTTTGGTATTGCTTGTCACGCTGACCATACCTGTATCGGTGGCACTTTGGGGCCAGCCCAATCGCACAAGCACAACCCACAAAGCTCGAAGGAATGACAATGATGTCCGGGGGGTCAAAAGTGGAATCCAAATGGTGATGTTGGTCCCTACACCAGGGTGAACTTGAAGTGGGCTGCCTGTGAACCCGTAATGAAGCTGGGAGGCTTTGTTTTGACCGCAGAACTCTTTGTTTGTTTGTCATTGCAGGAGTGGTTCTAAGCCTTGTGCTGTTTGAACTTGGTGGTACCGGTACATGTAAGAAGGTGCCTGCTTCGCCCCTGCCAACATTCCCCCCTCTTGCGCATTGAAAATAGCCCTCAACGGATGTAGGGCCCTTGTGAATTGTGTTTGTGTGTTTGTGTGTTTGTGTGTTTGTGTGCTTTGCTGTCCTGTTTGTGTGTTGTGTGTTTGGTTTGTGTGTTTTGTGTGTTTGTGTGTTTGTGTGTTTGTGTTGGTTTGTTGTGTTTGTGTGTTTTGTTGTTTTGTGTTTGTGTGTTTGTGTGTTTGTGTGTTGTGTGTTTTGTGTGTTGTGTGTTTGTGTGTTTGTGTGTTTGTGGTTGTGTGTTGTGTGTGTTGTGTGTTTGTGTGTTTGTGTGTTTGTGTGTTTGTGTGTTGTGTGTGTGTTTGTGTGTTTTTGTGTTTTGTGTGTTGTGTGTGTGTTGTGTGTTTTGTGTTTGGGTTGTGGTGTTGTTTGTGGTGTTTGTGTGTTTGTTGTGTTTTGTGTGTTTGTTGTGTTTGTGTGTTTGTGTTGTTTGTGTTGTTGTGTGTGTTTTGTGTGTTTGTGTGTTTTGTGTGTTTGTGTGTGTTTGTTGTTTGTGTGTTTGTGTGTTTGTGTGTTTGTGTGTTTGTGTGGTTTGTTGTGTGTTGGTGTTTTGTGTGTTTGTTGTTTGTGTGTTTGTGTGTCGCACTTTTTAGCCCCAACCCTATAAAGGCAGCATGCCCAAAAGAGCGACAGATGGCTGGCTAGATAGAGTAGCTACTAGCTGGTACCGTAGCTCCCAAGCATTCAACTGTTCATTACCTAGCTAGCTAGTAGCTAGGAGAGCCTAACATCTCAGCTAGCTAGATAGCTACCCAAGCAGCCAACTGTTTATTACCTAGCTAGAAATGGGCCCTACCTATCTACTAGAGCTAGCAGCAGTGGCAGTACTAGCTAGCTAGCAACACGTTGTAGCCAACCAGCCAAATGATTCAAAACTTGTTGAGGGCTCATGCCTTCGGCAGCCTGAATTGTTTGTAGAGATGACGTTTTTAAACATTTAAAAATACAAATGAAGCTATTGACATCTAGCTAGCTAGCTAGCTAGCAATAGAATGTTGCAAATAATGACAAGATGACAACCATGCCCATTTTTGATGCTCAACCGACGCAATAAGTCCTTACGGTACACAAAGCGAATGATTGAATCGAATCATTCAATACAGTGTCCCAAATAGTGAAGTTTTGAGTTTCGATTTCGAGTTTCGAGTTTCGAGTTTGGACTTCTTTCATGGTCGAAAATTATCTATCTTTGTTTTTTAGATTTGTGTCCCAAATAAGACTTTTTTCGACTTTCATGTTTCGAGTTTTGACTTTTCTTTTTCTGATAATTCAACCCAATCCCACTAGTGATTTAGTCATTCCCAGTCAATAACCTGGACTCTTATGGAGAGTCCAACCTTCGTTTTCAAAAATACACACACTTCACACCATCACAGCATTTTTCTCAGCGTGGACTCAGCGTGGACCAGCAACTCACTCTATTGTCACGACGCCATTGTCCTCTTGGAGCCCCCTCTCCTATCATATACTCACACTATTGTTGTTCTTTGAGTTTGGTACCGGTACCCGCAAAGGCATATCCAGAATGGCTCAGCTCAACGCAACCCACCAGATGCTCTTTATCAAAGACCAAATGATCCAGAGTGGATGGCAGAAAATCGTCGCCTTCACAATGCCAGCCAAAAGGCATTCAATGAATACAACTTTGATAATATTGACGAGAACTTCACTGCGGATGAACTTGCTCTCATCAATGGTCCACCAGTGACTCTATCAACAGAGGATCGAACAATCAAAGACAGCTATGATGGACTCAAGTGCCCCTTGTTCCAGGAGGTGCCGGCCCTGGATGACATGATGATGTGGGGTGGCGTGTTCATGTCCAAAATGGAAGTATCTATCTTCCGAAACCAAACTCGGCAACAGAGAGAACAGAATGCTGCTGCTCGCATTCTACCTCTTCTGCATCCTTCTACGAGAGTTTTGATGACAGAGGAAGAGTTCTATGAATATGGAAATGAATTGACACTTCAACAGCGAATGATTGTGAATCGAACCATTCGATTCTACAAGAATAATGATTTCCAGGGTCGGTTGGATATCTTTCACAAGTATCAACGGTTGCGAGATCATTACCAGATGCTGGAAGCTCTAGATAATCAGCGTCGTGCCAACAATGCTCCACCAGATGATCCTGCTCCAGCGGTCCCACGGGCGCCTTCTCCTATTGCTGGCAATCTAGATGAAGACAGTGATATGGACTCTGTTGATATTGGACAACGCCTTAAAGCCATAAACAACAATCGTGAAAATCACTTTTCCAAGCGGGAGCAACTACTGACTCCTGCCGCTGGATCTGTCAACCGAAAACACTAATAGCAATGATAATAACGACGGTCACTTCTATACCATCACCACCACACCTATTAGCACCATTGGAAGCATTGAAACGAAGCGAAAGGACCTCGGGAAGCCTGTTATCTGTTATTTCGTTGAAGAGTACTGTTTTACTATAGGAATCCACTCAACGTCATCACGGAAAACAAACCTCCTTTTTCCTCTCTTTATCTCTCATTCAAGGTCTCCGGTTGACTGGATCGACACCCACCATCTCTCCTATCAAGCGCACCTCTCCTATCAAGCGACTATCAAAGCGGCCTTCTCCGGTTCAGATTAGAAAGCTATCCCAATTGAAATCCTACGAGATCGGGCAGGTTTTCTCTTCTTGACCGCCGACGACCAAATTGGAGGAAATTGAACACAAGAAGAAGTCTCCGGTCTTCAGTAGACTCAGAAGTGCCAGGTTTCTCCATACTCTGCAGTGAACCAACATTTCTCTTACTACCGACGGCCCAAGAAATCCCATTGTTGATCATCCTTTTCGATCGAACGGCCGACTTCTTCCTCAACAACAACGGCTCGGTTAACCTTACCCCTAAGGCAACTGACTCACCGAATCGAATCGAATCTCCGAATCGATCCAAGACTTGCTATTCCGTGAATCGATCGAATTGAATCCTCCCGCGACCGTACCTCTTCTCCGCACCTCTTCTCCGTACCTCTATCCTCTTCCATACGGATCGAACGACAGCCTCTATCATCAAGCAGGACTTCACGAGAAACCTGCAGTGACCGTCGAGAACAGAAACACAGCTGTATTTCTTACTTTCTCACTGGCCACTCTTGGCTTCTCTCGACGTCCTAGTTGGAACTAATACTACCTGCTACTGTTACCACCCCCACATTTGATATCTAACTCCTCTCCAAGAGGAACAACAAACAACAACAGAGTTCCTGTAAGGACTTGAGTTACAGGCTGACAAGCTGAACTTCAGAACTTGTGTATTCCACTGAAGCCAGTCAGTCACCTTGTTCAGGCTCTATCACCAGGCTTAACTGTATTCTTCGTCGTCTACAGCCTCCTCCCTGGGATACCCAACTCCTCTCCAAAGGACCTCACCCACACAAGAACCAACAAAAGTTGCCCCTCTAGTATCACACTTAGATTGTGCAACACCCCCCTTATTGAACCAGCCACCTCTCTGCTCCTGCTCCTGCTCCTGCTCCTGCTCCTGACTCTCGTACTGAGTGTGTCTAACTCCAAAGGATTGAGCCCCAGACAGATCTGCAGCGTGGTGTGGCTCAGATATCAACAACCAACTGACTCTACCACCTCTCCACCTGATTGCTGAGTGACTCTTCAGTACTTCTGTCATTCCTACTGAATTGCTTGAGTACCCTCTACAAATCTTGGCTTGACTCTCTGTTGAAGTCTGTGGTGGCCTTCACCAGATTGAGTAGCAGCCCTTGAGACAACACCCAGCGTCAAACAGTAACACAGCTCTATCAATCAACACCAACACTTGATCACACCAACCACCATCTCTACTGGCTACAGAGTGACTTCTCCAGACCTCTGTTGAGAATCCTCTATCAACCTTTGGCTTTGATCCCTTCCTTTTGCAGTTGTGGTAACTGTACTAGATTGGGATCCAGCCTTTGATCCAGTGGCCATCTCCACCCAACAGCTTTGATCCATACCCTGATTGCCAGTGCCCCAGAGCATTGGCCTCCTTGAATAGATTCCTTCGAATCAACCCTCCTCTCCACCTCACAAGCAATCCCTGTGCTTGAGTTGCAGCAACGACCCGACAGTCACCATTACACGATACAACAACCTTTACATCAACCAACCATCATGCCTCCCACAGCAAACACACCCTACCCTCCTCCCTCCAGCACCATACCACCTACAGCCCACAACCACCCCTCCAACATCCACCCCACAATCCCTCTTACAGTCCACACCGCCCCAGCAGACACTGTGCCTCCCCTTTGGGAGCCACTGCCTGCCAGTGCATCACTTGGCCCTATCGCATGGCTCTTTGTCAGCTTCTGCCTGACATTGTTCGCCCACTGGATAGGTCATACCCTGACATGGTCCAGTCTTAGGTGCGCCACCGCCTATGGACTCTGCTGGCATCTTGCCTTGCACGACAAGGCAATGGCCACAGCATGGGAGCTGATCACTCAAACGCACCTGTGGTGGAGGTGGATCGATTATGACTGTTGTCGATCAGTGACCTTCTAATAGGTTAAATCCTGGCTAGGCCACCGTGCTCCAGGTCATGATGGGAAGATGCACACTTCCGTTGTAAGTAGAGCTGTAGGGACCTGCCCCTTGTTCATGGGGCGGAGGTGAACGGGGGTGAGACTATACGGTAGGATAGTGTAGCCGTGCTACTATGAGGCATATCCTCCTTCAGTGTTGACGCTTGGTGTGCACCGTGAATCTTCCTATCGTGCAATTCATCAATGGTATACGACTCAGCTATTTGGGCCCTCGGGCTCAACTATTGCCACGTAGAAAAAGGTCCTCCAGACCCAATAGGTTGTTAACCTAAATAAGTAATTAAACCCCTGGAACAACAATCGTGGAAATCAGCAAAATGTGGAGGAACTGGAACTATCTTCTTCTGACGACGACGAGATGCCGATTGCAGGTCTTGGAGCCAGTCAAGCAGCCGGTCGTGGTGGCACAGCCGGTCGTGGTCGAACAGCGGGTCGTGGTCGTGGAAGAGGTACTGATGAAGTTTGGACTCCTATATGAATCTCATTTTTATTGTATCCCTTACCTTTCTCTTGTAATATTAGGTGACGTTCGAACTCCTGTTCAAACTCGGCAATCCACTAGTCGGGGTCGTGGTTGAGGTCGTGGTGGCTGGGGTGCTGGTCGCAGCAACAGTCGTGATGGTAATGGATGTCGTGGCCAGTCTGCACAAGGAAGAGGAGCCAACCCAGGAGGTGGTCGTGGAGGTCGTGGCCAGTCTGCACAAGGAAGAGGAGCTAACCCAGGAGGTGGTCAGGTGGATCCTCCTGAGATACCCAATAATGCCAACAATCCCATGCATGATGTTGAGCTTATTCGGCTTCCTCGGAACATGTGGCATAATCCTGCAATTCAGAATCGTTTCAATACCTTCCTCTTGCAGTGCGAGGAGGCTGGATTTATAAACAATATCTTTCGGGACAAGGGACGCTATTTGACTCGAAACATTGTTCCCCTGTTTGGGCGTGAGGGCCCTTTCCATGGATACAATCCAGTGTCGGCTGCTGTATTTGGTCAGAGAATAACTGCAGCTGAACGCTACTTCCGTGAACTTTTGACCAACCACAACAACGATCCGACAGGTGCAGAGGGAGAGGAACGTCCCATCTGGTTTCCTGTAATGACTCGATACCGTCAGTTCTGTGATAGCAATCCAACTCGTGGTGGTCAGGCCAATCAAGCTCAACAGAAAGACATTGCTGTTGTTGGTGGTGGTGCCCAACGCCCCCTTGGTGCTGGCTGGAGTTCCTCTTGCTCGGAGTGAGATTGCCACCCAGAACCCACAACAAGCTCAAGGTCAGCGTGATATTGGTGGTGGACTTCGTCTTCTTGCGGTTCCTGATCCCAACGCTGAATTTCCTGTTGATGATGATGATCTTACTGGCATTGGTGGTGATAATGGATCCCAAATTGGTTGTGGGGATGCCTCTCAGGCTGCTGCACAATCCATCCGTCAACGACGCCGTCGGAATAGCACCAGTGCCAGCTCGGGTGCCTCACGTCCCCACAATCGGAACAGCAACTGAACCCGAAACACTGGAGTGCCTGTTCAGGAGCGGCTGGAGGCACACCGAAATGGTATGAATGATATTGCTAACAATCTTGGCAATCTGACCAATGCATTCATGGGGAGTATGGCACCAGCAGCATCGGTCAATGTTCCACCACCTCCAAATGGCTTTGATGTGAATGTTGCAAGTCTATCTACATTGCAGGAACGTTTCAGCACCTTCAGTAATGATCCTCGCATTGCTCAACATCCCAGCACCATCAACGTTCTCCATGGTATGACAAATGCCTATTCCGGATTGGTCAACCAGTTTGTTGACATGAACCAGCTGCATCAATACATTCCCATGAATCCTAACAATGGACATGGCATTGGCAATTTGAGCGAGGACAATGAAAGTGATGGAGATGACAGCAATGGTGTCCGTGTCTATGGCAGCGACCATGATGGTGATGGTGATCATGATGGAGACAGTGACAGCGACCTCTAGAACCATCCATTCTGTCTACTGTCGATTACTACTGTGGATTCATACGACCGATTCCACCCTGGGGTACGGGGTACCACCTTATAAGTGCTGCTTTTTCTCTTTTGATTCTTGCTTCTATCATGGTACAATGCTCTCCACTCTTGCTTCAGTGAGAGTATTGCACGAAGGATGGCTCATTAGATAGACTAAGCAGGTGTTTCTCTAGTGTCTTGTTTATCAAATTCTCAAGGTTCTATTGTAGCTTTGACTCATATTAGAGGCAAGGTTATACCATAGAGGTGCTTGGTCTATTCTAATCAGCGTGACTGACCATAGAGGTGCATGATTGGATATTACATCCGTTAGCGTGTCGTTTCAGCGTGTGCGTCATGTTCTTTCAGCGTGTTCTTTCAGCGTGTCGTCGTGCCGTTTTTTTTTGTCTTAGCTCATCACATGCAGCCATTATTTGGTCACCTCAGTTTGCTCATAAAATTCAACTCGCCTTGTTGTGAATCCCTCTTTTCTTCTACCTACTGTGTCCCTTTGAATTCAAACATCTCCAACATGGCCGACCCCAAGGGCAACAGCACCATCCATGAATTGCTACATCTTATACCTCATGACATGGCAACTCAGAATCAGGATAATTACTTGAATGACAAGATTCAAACCTTGGGTACTCAACTCAATCCGAATGAGTGGAGTCATGCTGACAAACTCAATGAACCCACAAAGCTGGCAGCAGAATTTAAGAGTTCAAAAGAACATCAACGGACTCCTACTGAAGAAGAGACTGCAGAAGCCTTCATTCCCTTTTCTCATGAAGAACTCTTGGAGACCTTACCTTCTAAACAAAATGGCTGGGTTTTGAAGCCCAAAGTATTGAAGCACAAGCCTAATGAATTGGTGGCAAACACTTTGAAATAACCATACCTCAAGCAATACAATCTTTCAAAGAAACTGGGAAAGAAGTATCATATGGCAACTTGGAGTACCCTTCTCACTTATATGACTCCATCTCAGCAACTCCACCAAACCCATTTTGCAATGAAAAACTGTCAAAGGTTGACTCCCTCAAGGAATCCCTTGCCTTGTCACATGAGGTATGTCAACAGCATGGTGATGCTGAGTACTACATTCAACATGTTCTATGCCCTCAGTATGTCAAAGAAAGAATGACACCAAGTGAGTTTGCTGCCTGGGATAAAGCCAGAGAAGTTAGATTGGAAAAAGAGAAGACCATCAAGCGTTTGAAACGTGATATGAAGAATGAAACACAAGAGGAGATCCGGAAGAAGAAGCAGAAACCTGATGATACAAAGTCCCAGTCCAAAGCAAAGCCCCAGCTTCAGGTTCAACCCCAGGCCAAGACTCAGAGTGGATCCAAGCCCAAGACTCGAAGTGCCACTTCCCCAACCACTCCCAAGAAGACTTATGGAGAGAGCCTGTCTGAATCTGAGGAAAGTACTGATGAAGACTTTGATGAAAGCATGAATTTAGGCTCAGAATCTGGAGACCCAAAGGACAATTCTGGTTCTGAATCTGAATCTGACCATGAGTATGAACAGGAGGAGTCTCTGCTAATGCATGACTTTAGCAGAGAAGCAAAACTGGATGAGGATGATTTGATGGACACTGCCTTAGCCAGAATGATTACTGAGTATGAAGATAGCATGATTCCTCCCAAGCTGAAGGAAGGTGAACTCACCTTAGTGTCTCCCAGTGAATCTTGGGCTACATGCAAGAATGTGGAGTGTGGTGAGATTGTTGCCTTTGTGAACCATTTTGGTTCTGTCTATGACCTTGATTTCACTACATTCACAAATCCAAATGAGCAGTATGTGCTATCAACATTGAAAGCCTGGGAGATGTATGACTCTGACAGCATGGGACAAGATAGGAAAGCTACCTTGGATGCTTGGCTACATCCCTTGTACAAGAAGAGTCTGTCTGGTTACCTCAGCGCCTTCTATGAACTCTTGACTGCAGAGATGCGACAATACCATTGTGGCATTGATTAATCTAGGGATCTAAGAGATGTAAAGTTTGTATTTCCAAATAAGTGAGCAGTTATTGATTATTGTCTAGAATAAGCCTGCCAATTGTAAAGCT